AATCAAAACAGTTAAATTCCCACTTGAATTTTTTCAACACTCTGTATCTTTTTCTCGTCTCTTTGAAAACGAGTGAGCGTGCCCATGAGGAGGTTCGAGAACATACGACGGTTTCTGAAAACTTCTTTCATCATATCGCATCTTTATGACTAAAAAGACAAAAAATCATGCAACTTTACGGAAAAAAAAAACTTTTAGTGAAAAGATTTTTGAATGGAAAAAGAAGCAAATTCGTTATGCGCCCACCTAGTAGTGACTTCTTTTTTCTCGTTCTTATTCATCTCTTCGATCTTCTCCTCGCGGCTCTTCGTTTCAATAGATGGCATAACCACTGTTGACGCCAGCGTTCTAAAATGAATTTCTTCAAACCATATGAACCGATGAGTCAATATTTTTACCGTTTCGGACGCATGTCGCGATCATCTTCATCATCCATTTCGTCGTAATCCAGACGTTGCCGCTTGCCTGGGCGTTCATCACTGCGCACCATTCTAGTAGATTTCATACATTTTAATACGATTCTCTGGACTGACGATGAGTCAATGACTTACCTTGTATGCATAGAATAAAACGTAATAAAAACATTAGATAGGTATGTGACAGCATAGAACAACTTTAAAAAAGAAGATCTAATGAGTGTTTCTCTCTGAATAGGTTGACAACCTCTTTTCTTGTCACTAGACAGAATTTTCAAAACGACAAACCTAGGTTCGTTCTGTTATAAAAAATACACTTTGTTGACAACTCCTTATATCAAAACTACTTACAAGTCTTTCTATCAAAACATGCATTTATTTTTTTCTCGAAAAAGCGTGATTACCTACATGCTTTCTAGTCTCTCTAAATTGCTTAACCTTTAGGATGTCGTTAAAAGTATTCTTTTAACATTGCAGTTCTTGAAGCTGATGACAAATTGAAACGGCTGATAAACTTACTCAATTCTACGTCTATTGAAGCCCATCGGTGATGCATCGCTCACCACAGTCACACGCCCACTGAAATGAAACAAGGCATTTGATTAATTGGTAGATAAAAAAGAATAAGATGTTCTTCAATAAAAACGCAGATTAGAAAGACAAAGAAATTATGGGAAAATAGTTGAGTTGAAGCGCTAACCTCCCATTCGAATAACGGTCATTAGCAAAACCTTCATGTGAAATGCGACGTTTGAGACCCGGACCGCCACTAAAACAAGAACAGCATGCATACAAAGAAAAGGAATTGATTCACATAATAAGCGCACCCTTCGTACTCTCTCCGACTTGGTCTAAGATTCGCTATTGATCCTTCCAACTCGCGCAACTTCTCCTGCACACGCTCGATGTCCTTGTTCAACGCCTCCGTAGCCATACTGGTTTACATGATATTAGGAGAAAAATGAGACAAAAATGAACACCTCAAGCAATAAAATAAAGTACAAGATGAATGAACATAAATGTTAATTGAACACCCAAGTCGAGATTTTATATTTCATCACAACTTTAAAGGCACTGGAAAGATCACCGAGTTGGAGATACGACAAATGGCTGTGAAAGATAAGGAATCACATTTGAACAAACTAGAAAGAA